CGGGAGTAGCAGATACTGGTACACGAGCCTAGAGTGCCCTCTAGCGGCTGTCAATGTGAAAAATATCAACATGTAAATATTCTGTGCTACAGGAGTAGCAGATACTGGTACACGAGCCTAGAGTGCCCTCTAGTGGCTGTCAGTGTGAAAATAATGAACATGTGAAATTATTCAGAGTATAAGTCGCAAACCCTTGCCAAAATGGATGAAAAAAGTGCGACTTATAGTCCGGAAAATGCACTACTCTTTCAGTCACTGACCAATGTGATGTCACTGATGATATTAAAGTGACACGGTGTAGTCTCATCTGAAGTGTGTGTGTGTGTTCGTCCTCAGGAGAGTAGCCTGTATGGCCATGGAGAAGACAAAGTCGGAGCAACAGACCAGCTGCACCTGGTTTGGAAAGAAGAAGAAACTGAACAAAGATAAATATCTGGCCAAACACAATGCAGGTGAGTAAACAAACCGATTGTGACCAATCATGCATGTGGTGGAGCCTGCGGTACTTCTCAATTAGGGGGGCGGCCCCCCCCCCTGGGAGCGGGCGGTGGGGTTCCAGTTCTATGGAATATGGCACACTGGACATAAGTGGACCACTGCTGTAATGCTTTAATGATAACAAGCCTCCAGTCACTAGGGGGCAGCACCTCATACATTTGTTTGTACAGATAGAAATATACGTGTAATCATGTTCTCAACAGTATTTCAATTTGTCAGGGTGAGGGTCAGGGTAGATAAAGGGAGGGGGCGTGAAAACATTTCTGTCCCCAAGGGGGGGACACTGGGCTACAGTGATGTAGTTAGCAGGTCTGAAACGCCCTTCTGTGTCATGTTGGTGGTACTGTCTACATTTGCGCGTGTGTGTGTGTTTTTGTAACAGTTTTTATGTCTCTTGTTTACTGCTTCTGAATGGCTTTTGTGAATGTAAGTATTTTTAATCCCTTCCAGTTTTTTTACTCTGTCTCTTCATGTTAATAAGCTCGGGCTCTGCAGGTTTCCAAAAACAAACTCCACCGCCATGTTCGATGTCTCTTTCCTCGACGTCGGGTGAATTTATTGCGATTCTCATCTTGTGTTTGTCTCTTTTTTTCCTCCAGTGTTCGATCAACTAGATCTGGTCACGTACGAGGAGGTGGTGAAACTCCCAGCGTTTCAGAGAAAAACACTTGTGTTGTTAGGTGAGAAGTGACCGTTTCCTGCTTTATGATTTAGGTCAGAGGTGTCAAACGTGCGGCCCGTGGGCCAAAACTGGTCGAACGTGCGGCCCGTGGGCCAAAACTTGGCCCGCTAGGTCGTTTTATCTGGCCCGCTTGATTCAAATTTGGAAATAAAAAACTGTTAAGGATATTTTTTGTAAAAAGTATTATTCCTTAAATATATCTTAAATATATCTGTACAGTCTTGGACAATTGTTTTCCTCAGTCAGTATCAGAAAGTGATCTTTGCACTCTGTCGTCTTCCTCGCCAGGAGCCCACGGCGTCGGCCGAAGGCACATCAAGAACACGCTCATCACTAAGCAGCCCGACAGATTTGCGTACCCCATCCCACGTGAGACCCTTTACTGCACATGCCCTGGTCCTTCACTGGTCAGAGCTACCGTCTTTGCTAACTTCCCGTCTCTGTCCCGCAGACACCACCAGACCTCCAAAGAAAGATGAGGAGAATGGGAAAAACTACTACTTTGTTAGCCACAATCAGATGATGCAGGACATCAGCAACAACGAGTATTTGGAGTACGGCAGCCACGAGGACGCCATGTATGGCACGCGACTGGAGACGATACGCAAGATCCATCAGCAGGGACTGCTGGCCATACTGGACGTAGAACCACAGGTATGGTGTGCGTTAGGGCTGCTCGATTATGGCAAAAATCATAATCACGATTATTTTGATTCTTATCGAAATCAGGATTATTTAGAGTACATGTGTCAAACTCAAGCCGTTTTGTATGGTCCGTCAAAGCTGAGTTTTTTAACCTGAAATATTACAATTTTTTTATTACACACAGCATATATTTTTAACTTTAACTAATAATAATCAATCGCACTACTGTTCTGTGTTTTGCTGTTTAATCTTGGTTGTCGCCTGCACTGCGGCCAACAACATCAACAGAAATAAACTGCTTTTTCACGAATACAATACTTTTACTGCTACGCTATTATATATATATATATATACATATGTGCATATATTAAAAATAAAAATGGATATCAAAAAGGATGTGGCAGCATACTAGTAACAAACATAGATAGAATGATAGCATATACAGATACGAGTAAAAGTATGTGTATATATGTATGTGTATATATGTATATATGTATGTGTATATATACTGTATATATGTATGTGTATATATATATACGCATGTATATATATGTATATGTATGTATATATATGTACATATATGTATATGTATGTATATATGTATATATGTGTGTATATATATACACATATGTGTATATATATGTATATATATATACATATATACACATACAAATATACATATATACACATACATACACATATATATATATATATATATATATATCAAACACTGAATATCATATCTAGAGGGTCCACTGTATTCCACTTTCTCTTCCTCTCTTGCTTGGCACGATAATCATTTTATTTCGATCGTCTTGTGGTCATGATCGTGGGAAGCCAAAATCGTAAATCTAAATCAAAATTCGATGAATCGCCCAGCCCTAGCCTGTGCCGTGCCGTGTGTGTTGTCTGTGCTAGTTAGCGTTTGTCAATGACTTTTTGACATCTCCATGCTCCATCCAGGCACTGAAGGTCCTGCGAACTGCGGAGTTTGCGCCGTACGTTGTCTTCATCGCTGCACCGACGATTACACCGGGGATCACTGAGGTACAGACACACGCACACTCGCAGCGTCTGTGGCTGTAAAAGAATCTTCTTCTGCTGCCTCTTCTTTTTAGTGATCTACCTCATCTTCACTGTTTTTCTTGTATTATGTATTTTTCTTACTGCATGCCTTTGATTTCCGGCCTCCTCACTCACTCTCTTTAGACGCCACGATGGTGTCGAACTCTGCCAGTGAGTAACGCTATACGAGACTCTGTGTGTGTTTGTGATAGAGAGAGAGAGAGAGTGAGAGAGAGAGAGAGAGAGACTTTGTATGATTGTAGTTTTACTCTGTAACTGCACATGTAAACTGTTTACTCTAGCAGGGTGACTTTTTTTTTTTTTTTTTTTTACAATTTTTGAAGTTCAGATTTGTCTTTTGTTGATGTCTTTTTAGCTCACAGAAACAGAGCAGTTGAGGATCCAAGGCTACGTCCATCATTAAATTTAAATGTGTTCCTATGTGTCTTGAAATCTTTCTGTGGGTTTTTTGTGCCAGACGTGGGCAAACTTTTTGACTCGTGGGCCACGATTGTCCTAAAATTGAACAGGGGGGTCGGGGGCCGGGTCGGGAGCAGATACAGTAGGTCCAGAAGGCATTCAGACCCCCTTAAATTTTTCTTTGTTATATTGCAGCCATTTGCTCAAATAATTTCAGGTTCATTTTGTTATATTGCAGCCATTTGCTAAAAATAATTTCAGGTTCATTTTTTTCCACATATTGACAGAAAAACACAGAATTGTTGATATTTTTGTTGTTTTATTTAAAAAAAAAACAACCTTTGCTCAGTATTGAATGAACATGATTTTAGCAAATGGCTGCAATATAACAAAAAGTAAAACATTTAAGGGGGTCTGAAATATTTCATGTAATGACATGTAGTCATAAGGGCTAAAATGCCTATCTCATTTTCTACGCCACATATTGGGAAAACGTGAGTATTACAGGGAAAAGCCAGAAGTATAATAATGTAAATAAATTATATAATTTGGAAGAGTTTGGTGGGCCGGATGAAAAGGCCGCATCCGGCTTCCAGGCCTTAGTTTGCCCGTGCCTGCTCTAACCTTTTCCCCTTTTCTTGTCCCCTTGTGTCAGGACGAGTCCCTGCAGCAACTTCAAAAAGAGTCCGACATCCTACAGAAAACATATGCTCACTACTTTGACCAAACCATTATCAACAACGAGATTGATGAGACAATCAGGCTCCTGGAGGAGGCCATGGATCTAGTCTGCACCATCAGCCAATGGGTTCCTGTGTCCTGGGTTTACTGATCCGCCTGACCTTCATTTTCTTCCAAGCCTCAACTTCACAGCAAAAAAGAAAAAAAAGACTATTATAATCCATCCTTCAGGGCGAAAAATTCAAAATAAACTTTTAAAAATATACATCTCCTGCAGGTGGAATAGAACTGGAAACGTTTACATTTAAAAAAAAAAAAAAAATTGACCTCTGGGCCATGACCTTGTCATAGTGTTGTGCAAAAAATGTGAAAAGAAACTGTGGTGTTTGTACTAGCTAGGAGGATCCATTTATTTGTCTTTGTTTCTTTTAAAGAGACAGTACTGTATTTAGATTTGTGTTGTTTAAATAATCACAAACTCTAAAATCTAACAGATATCATTTCATGGATAGATCACAGACGTATAAAAAAAAAATTCTGTAGTAAGATTCTTTTTGGTTGAAATTATTGTCAATAGATTAAAATGTACAACAAGTTTGGGAGAATTGTACAAATGTGTTGCCTCGAGCCCTTGCCCTGTCTGAAATGGTGACATCTGCTGGTAATACTGCAGAAATGAAACATGTTTCGTTACTCAACATTTACTGCAAATTAAGCTAAAACAAAGCCAAAAATGGTATTGTGTTTGAAATACCTATTTTTGACAGATTGAAGGGATGTCGTCATCCAATCATATCGTGACTTTTTAATACATTGATACTCCCAACGGTACGATATTTAATGGGATACTGCGGGGGGGGAAATGAGTTAACCATTGTGTTCAGGCTTGTAAATAGGCATTGGATGATAAAACGAAATACATTTTCTGTCGAAATTTAACAGCCGAAAATAGTTATGTAACACTGTTACAATAATTACAATAAAATGGTCAGTTATGGACCACATTGGGGTAACACTAACCTAGCTAGACTTGACTTGAGTTGTTTTCAAACAACTAGGAACGTCTAGGTAAAATTTCCATCTTAAAGGAAATGAATTAACTTTTTTTTTTAAAAGCAGGCTACTGGCCCCAAACATGCGACTAATACTTATTTCCGCAGAAGGTCTACGAATTACTATGATTGCAACAAACACTTTATAAGACGGTATATATATTAAAAAAAAAAAGTCATAAACATTTGTGCAGTTATTTGTGAAATGAGGTGTTCAGCGAGAAGTTTGCGACAATTGTTTTCTTTGTTTGATATGTTTCCTAACAAGTGTCTCTCGTACTGTCTCTTTAAATGATTCCATTCATGTTTTTAGAGAATTAAACCAGATAATTGTGCATGTGGATATTTCTGAGCTTCCATTCAGGAGGTCCGTCCCTCAGTCGGTGTTCTCCTGTTTCCTTCAGTCGACTGAAAAAGAGAGGAGACAAATCTAAAGAAAAGTCAACATTCCAGCTATTGGACAGAAAACACTTAAGAGATGAAGAAAAAAAAAAAAAGACATGTCAAATAAAGGCACCTATGCACATGTGCTGCATCAACAGTTATATTTATAAAAAAAAAACTAATAATAAAAAATCAACAATGTAATAAGATGTGTTTGTAAAAAAGAAAAAAAAAATCAAAAATAAAAGTCTTAATTTTTTTTTTTTTTTTACGGTCTATAGTGAAAGTTTATGCTCTGTTTCAGAAAATAGACATCCTTTTTTTTTTTTTACGATCTATAGTGAAAGTTTATGTACTATTTTGCCTTCAATTCATATTATTGTCTTATTCGTCTATGGCAATAACTCCTGTGATTTTCCCGTGGACTTCAGTGACTATATTCATCGAGTTAAGGGTGGAAAAGGGTCGAGTCTTTTCATTGGTCAGGGATTAAAAAGACAGCTGCGTGAGAGTGTCTGTAAATGAGAGTGATGATCTGCAGCTTTATCCACCATTAAAGGACATGTGCAGATTAATCTACGTGAAAGTTATCACCAGCAGCAGCAGAGATGACTGGATAAACTTAACAGAACTTAACAGAAATTCAATTTATGTATTATATTCATGAAAAAAATTAATATAATCTTCAGTATTGATTTTATGAGCAATAACACAATTCTATCAGCTTTCACCACGGGAAATGAATGCAGTGAGGATTTTCTTAAGACAAGGTTTTTAATGACCAATGAAGCAGAATAGAATATATAAGAATATGTTATTTCATACGGACAGCCGCTAGAGGGCACTCTAGGCTAGCGTATTTGCAAGTCATATTTTTTTCATCCTTTGGCTAGTGCGACTTATACTCTGGGGCAACTTTTTATGTATGGGACTCTGTCTCACCTGCCTGACTGCACGCCACTGCCTGAGGTGTATCACTTGTAGGCTTCCGCATGAAATATACTAATTATTAATTCATATATTAGTACAAATGAATCCATAATATGTCTGTTCTATTTTGAACTAACCAATTAACACTGTTAATTGAGCCGGTTTATACTCACAGGCATAGCTCTGATTCAAAAATGATTTGCAGCATAAAACCGAAATCTTTATTCTACAGATACAGTTGAAGATGTTTTCATTGATGTATTTATTTATTTATTTATTGTCACAAGGTGAGGAAGTTGGGACCACTGTTTGTAATGTTTTTCTTTTGTGAAACAAAAAAAGCTGTTTGTTCGCATTCAGTTGTTTTGTAACGCGAGGGCATGTCAGTGACAACATCCCATCTACAAAATGGTTTGAAAATTATTGACTTAATGTATCAAGTAACAACAATAGCCGCATGTAAAAACATGTAAAAAGGTAACTGTGGGTTCCGAGGAAAACCCTTATTTCCGGTGACGTAAATAAAATGCACCGGAAGTCGCTGATTTACCAGCTGCGTTGCTGATCATTGCTTCATTTATGGCCGAGGAAACCAACTTAACTCAAAGCTGACATTTTATACTTGAATTGCTTTTACTTATATTTTTGCCATTGGCAAATATCATTTCATCATTAGAGTAGTGTAGTGTTACAATAACAACGTTAGAATAGTGACAAGTAAGCTTTTAGCTGAAGCTCTTAGCTTTTTAGCATTTTCTTTTCTGGCGTCATTTCCTGTGTTTGAAAGTCGCGGCCACACATAAACGAAGCCCGAATGGAGTTGCAAGGTAAAACTTCGTCATATGTATTTATTTTATATAGTTGTTTTTTAAGATGTGAGAATAATAACCAAATACCCCTCTGTATATGTAACGATTTAGAATAGTATGATAAAAAAAAAACTGGGAAACAAATACCCAAAATGGTATTGAATTGTTAAAAACGTACAATAAAATTGTCTTTTCAAAAAACGTATCGCTCTTGTGGTTAAAATTAAGGAGACTCTAATATTTGTCTGATGTTGTGGAGACAAAAAAAAAAGAGTTTACTGTTTTTGTTTTTGGTAACATAATGTGACACAGTCTGACAACATGACGTCGAAGTAGACTAGCAGCTGAGGTCAATAATATTGTTCCTGATGCTAGGAAATTCAGAATTCCAACCGTAGGAAATGAAGTTACTTAAGTCTGTTTTTCTCTTCTTCAGTAGGGGGCGAACCCATGACCCTAGGCTCTCCTACGTCACCTAAACTCAATCCTGGTGCTCAGTTTCTACCAGGATTTTTGATGGGTGACATTCCAGCTCCTGCAACCCCTCAGCCTCGTCCCTTTAGCCTGAGCATGCCCCTTATAGAGAGTCCATGTACACCACGAGGTGAGCATAAAGACACTCTTCCCACTCACAACATTGATGTCGCTGTAATATTCTGTAGCTTGACTATTGTGATCTTTTTAATGTAGGGAATAGTTGTGGAATGGGCTCCACCCCACAGCCAATCGTCCACACCCCCAAGGATAAAAGTGGAGCTCCGCCTGTTCGCAGTATCCGCGACGATTTGGTTTCTGTGGGGACGCCGCATAGTGCACATAAAACTGTGAGACAATTTTTTTTTCTTTGCAACTTGAGCAATCTTTTTGGAACATCTAACGGGAAAAGTCAAACTGAAAATAATGATTTTTTTATTGTATCATTTTTGGTCTGGTAAAACATCATCATTAACACAAATCACTTTGAATTTTTTTTTGTATTGAGTATTTTTTTTTCACATTTGGAAATGTATTTTGAAACTTACGATTTACCATTTTTTTCCGGACAATACGTTTACACTTTTTTTTTCATCCTTTGGCTGGGTTTGTGACTTATAGTCAGGTGCGACTTAAATATTAAAAAATATAATTTCATGTTCCTTCCACACTGACAGCTACTAGAGGGCACTGGTACGACTTATAGTTCGAAAAATACGGTATATTTCTGAATGTTAATGGAATGTTTGCGAAAATTGACATCTCTGCAGAGAACTGAACAAAACGACAGTGGTGGTATTTCAAATGTGAAACAGAGATTTAAAGTCTGAACACAAATCTCCATGTCTGAATTTGTCTTCAGAGTTTTCCGATGATGCAGTCCCCTCCATCTGCTCGACAGGCAACTCCGCTCACAGGTTCGTGTTCCGTAATTTACTACAGCTACTAACTACTGATACTGTGCTGCTACTATTTCTTTAACAACCACAGCTCTTACTGCAACTATCACACCATTAGCAACACATGCATACTGCAACTATCACACCATTAGCAACACTAATGGTAATGTGTGTATGTCTCTATCTTTTTTTTTCCTCCCTTCGTTGTCTTTCTCAATTAGGTCTGCAGCAAAGTTGTTTGTCTCCGGCTCAGGTCGATCCCTTCTACAGTCAGGGAGAATCTTTGTCCTCGGACGATCAATTGGACCAGACCTGGGTCACCGTGTTTGGGTAATTGTTTGTGATTAATCAAACTTATAAGCTACGAAGCAATCGATCTATATGTCCCGCTTCAATATATTTGTGTGTGTGTGTGTGTTAGTTTTCCTCCAGCTGCAGCCTCCTACATCTTGCTGCAGTTCGCTCAGTATGGAAACATCCTCAAACACAAGGTCAGACACTACTGATGCTGAAACATACAGACTGAAACATTGAGGCAACAGTTGATCGACGCTGTTAGGATTTTTTTTTTTTTTCCCCCAAGTTACAATAGTACTGCTGATTCGCCAGGTCATTGATGGATGATTTAATGGTTTGTTGACAGATGGGGTCTCCTGGGAACTGGATGCACCTTCAGTATCAGTCCAAGCTTCAGGCCAGAAAAGCTCTGAGCAAAGATGGAAAGGTGTTTGGAGATGCCATCATGGTGGGAGTGAAGCCCTGTATAGACAAGGTCTGTGTGTGTGGGGGTGTGTGTGAGAGGGACAGGGGGTTCTGCTTTTCCAAATCCAAATCAAAAATTGGTAATATTATTTATTTTTGCTTTTCTTGGACAGAGTGTGATGGAGAGGAGTGAAGATGACTCATCCCCTCTCGTCTCCTCCTTCTGCTCGTCTGCCAACGCTCTCCCATCCACCCCTCGCTCCGCAATCAGGCCACTCAGTGCCACGTACAGAGGCTCCAGTAGTGACTATCAGGTAACCCAAAGGCTAAGAGCCACAATTTTTACTGCGTTACTGCAATAAGCCCCATAAGTCCCCTTTGGAAATTCCTGGTCAATGTTAGCATGGAGTTTTTCCCTCCAAGTCATTTGCGTCAACACCCCTGCGCGTGAGATTTACAAAAAACACAAACACTAAATTTAACATACTATATTTTGCAGACTATGAGTTGCACTAACCAGAAAAATGCATAATGAAGAAGGAAAAAAAAAAAACCATATCAGTCGCTTAGGAGTATAAGTTGTAACAGTGCCCTCTAGTGGCTGTCAGAGTGAAAATAACACATGCACATTTTTAGTGGCACAAGAGTATCACATACTGGTACAAAAGCCCACAGTGCCTGTTGTGGCTCTCAGTGTGACAAAAACAAAAACATGAAATTATATATTTTAAAATATAAGTGGCAAACGATGGAGGGGAAAAAAAGTGCGACTTATAGTCTGGAAAATGCAGTAAATGTAAGAGCTTCATGAAACTGGGCAAAGAGCTGCATGTGGCTCCGGAGCCAGGGGTTGGCTGTGCCTGGTCTTGAATGATAGAGGAGATAATTTGTTCTTCTTCTTCAGAGGAATTTAACCTAAAAACTAACTGGAAGCAAACAAACAACTACAGTAACATACAGTTTTTATTTTTGTACTTTTGATATTTCAAATGTGCAGCTGGGCTCTGACAAAATAAGCAAATCTCAGTGTCGTTTTTTCACCAGGTGATTTTGACTTTACTTTGTGTGTGTGTTCAGGTAGTCTCAGACAGACAGACGCCCAGGAAGGACGACAGCTTCGTCTCCAAAGCCATGGAATACATGTTTGGCTGGTGAGGCTACAGAGGGCATTGTCGGAAATCTGTTAGAGCCTCAAAGGGAGAGAGAATTGTGTGTGTGTGTGTGTCTTTTTATCGTTGTTTTTTTAAACAGAGTCTGTTTCAATAAAGGTGTTTTCTAAAAGAAGTTCATTGAATCCATAGAAGTTTATTGTTTGTTTGTTTGTTTGTTATTCAGCCTGGACTAAAGATGGGTGAGCATGTGTTTTGGTCGCTCATGAAATAATTAGTTTGACTTTAAATTGATTATAGAGAACATGTAAAAAAAAAATTTTCTTTCTATAATCAGCTTTTGATCATGTTTGTTATACAGAATATCTACATTAGTGCAGAACAGTGACATTATATTTTCCAGATATTTTTATTTGCTCTGCTTTGCTTGCGTCTTATTTGAACTTGATTTATATTCATTAAAGTAAAGGAATACAGTTGTTTTATTTAAAAGAATAAGTTGAAAAATATTTTTTTATCTGTATTTTTTTTTTTGAACAATCACCAAATGTTTCAGGCAACTCCGTTTGAATTCCAGATGACCCCATCATTTCTGGATTTCAACTTTGTGTTTTTGTTTTTCTTACAATAAGGATAAGCTGTATATGTTTTGGGAGAATGATTGTCATTTTTACTTTATTTTGGTCTGACATTTGTTCCTCTCTCTGCCCTGTATCTGTATCTAAGAGAAGGAGAGGAATTGTCACGCAACAAAATGTGACCTCTGCATTTCACCCATCACCAAAGTGAGCAGGGGGCAGGGAGCAATGTGTGGGGGGGATGGTACCATGTTCAGAGCACCTCAGTGGTCATTTGGCAGCTGGTGGACTCAAACCTGAAGCCGTCTGGACCCAAGGTTGCTTCCTTAACCACTATGCCACAACTGCCCCCAATAAAACCCTGGGACAAAATTTGCTAAACCCAAATATTTCCTCACTTACAGGTTTGGGTCCGGATTGGACAGTGGCTGGGACCATATATGTGTGAACTGCGCTCTCAGTTAGGGGTTACATTTCTGGGGAGGAGGAGGAGGGGGTGACACCATTACTGCCCTCCAGAGCAACTGAGAAAACTTGCCTTAGTAGAAATGGAACTGACCTTTTAAAGTCAGTATTATAATATTCTCATACCAAGGTACGGAATAAAAGACATCAAAGATTGGTAGTTGGACTGCAGTCCAGTTCATTATTAAGGACATTGAGGAACTTGACACTAATTTTAGTCAAGCCAGCAGATCAAAGTTTATCATTCACAATTCAGACTATCAGCTAAAATGATAGCTGCCCCCTTTCAGACAGGCTAAGGTAGAGGATCAATTCTGAACAAGTCCGTAATGCAACATCACTGATGTCAACTGCTGTGAAGTATCACCCACAAACCCACACAGGTAGGAAATAGATACCATTTTCCAAAAATTAGGTTTGTTCATTCATCTACGACTTGAATCCTTCCAGGGTCATGAGGGGATGGGCAAGTTTTTAATCTGCGATCTCTAGTGCATACAACTCTATACATCAAATTAGCATGTTTGGCTCAAAAGGACATACTAGAAGCGTCTGGTCTGCACTGTGCGTTTTGATTCATAACATTGTTTGGGTTTTTTTTACGTCTGGTCTGCACTGTGCGTTTTGATTTATAACATTGTTTGGGTTTTTTTTTTTTTTTATTCTATGGATATTGTACTGTAAGTGATTGCAGCAAAACGAAATGGAAAAATAAGTGTTTTGAAATTTTGAAAGTTTTTTGGAAGAACTGGACGAATGCCAGCTCCATGCAGTAATTTGACAGAAGTTGAATTTGGCTGTATGCTTTCATGGAGACAGCATTTTAATTGAGTTTTTTAATATTATTTAACATGTATGACTTTGTTTGATTGTCTTAAACTTTAACATTGTGAAAGGATTAGTAATTATGGTGAAAAAGTTAACCATCAGTTGGTTTTAATTGCCTTTTTTTCCTCCCGTCGTCTCCACCAATCAGTTATGAGCTACATTATCGCGATACTGACAATCCTCGTCCTGGCTTATGGTTCAGAAGCAAATATCTCGCGTTACCTAAGCATTCAGTGTCTCATTCCAGCACGATCAAGTCTGCCGGGAAGGGGATTTGCTCTCAGCCGACATTTCAACTGAATTTGTTTAATTTATACCTAAGATAAACAACGCAGTTTTATTCCTTTAAACTTAACGGGTGAAATATTATTTGACCTGTAACGTTTGTATTCGTGATTTTGTACAAAAAAGCTAAGTGAACGCTAGCCGCATTAGCTTGGAGGAGCTAACAAAGAAACTTGAATTTCTTCAGAAAAAAATCTCCCACTTTTCTCTTTAGTTATGAGTCATGTGGTCATTGATAATCAGCACGGTCTAGATCAGCAGGTAAGTGCAATTTGAATTTCTGTTTTTCTTTACATGATAGTTAATTTTCGTGTCATTTAATACGAGTTGCGTACATGAGGCTCGGACCTATGGATTAGCTAAGCTAACGTTGCTAAAATGGAGACTACTCGCGTCGTTCGTGATGGCGGAGCTCCGTCACTAAGACGATAAAACACGAAAAGAATATAATTTTTATTATGTTTTATTTTCTCGTTCTCGAATACTACTATCCTACAATTTTATAACGGCAATTGTGAATTGGTGGAATAGAGAGTGGAAAACTCAATTTTTAGCCGTAGCTAGCGTTAGCTTTAAAAGTGAGGACCGGCCGGTGTTTGTGCCCATGTCGGGCCTTCACTCAAATTGAAACGTGGCGCAGGAAAAAAAGAAGCTGGTAGTGACTTTCTTTGAAGGCATTTAAAACTTATTCTGTAAACATTTCCACTTACCAGACATAATTAATTTATATTATCAATTACGTGTTAAGTTAACGACTTATTATTTAAGTTAAACGCATTTTATGTCGTGTTTTCTTTCGCTGTCGTTAATTTAACTGATGGGCATTGTAACGTGTTTTGGTTTGAATTTGTATTAGCGAGTGCATTAATAACGATAATACATGTTACTTTTTTTTTCTTGAGTAGTAAATAGTAGAATTGTCATATGCTAAACCATGTAGCATCTTGCTAGTCTCAATGCCCAAAACGTTCGCGTCTCTGCTGTGGGATCGCTTACATACGTTTTACATTTGTGTTTTGAACGAAATACCTAAAGCAGTATACAGATGTACATTTAAATACTATTTAGAGCGAATGCAAAACGTTAGTTGGAATGGTAGAAATGCTTCATTTATACGTACAGAATCACTAAATTAGCTAATTACTGTTATTATAACGCCAAAATGTTGCATTAATATAATTGGTAAGTCTCATTTGCAGTATTGTGCGCATGGCTATGGGTACTGAGTACGATGGTATTAAATTCCTGCGTAGTCAACACTTTTTTTCCCCCCGTCAAGATTCATTACAGATTTGGCATTGTTTACAGCAGTTTCAGTAACTGCACATTCTTTGTTGTATTCTCATTGAAATAAACAAGTAGTTTAATTGGATAATGATACCATGTAAGACTAAATATAATCATTGGCCTTGAGTGCCGAATTGAGTTTTATTGTGGAAGTCGTAGAAGTATAACCCATTGTTAGACTTCAACACTGATTCTCATAAGATGCAATTTTTATTCTATTGTTCTGCATTTACTTGTCTGCAGCTTTGGAAAACGGTACTAGAAAGTCTTATATAGTCTAATAATTAAACAGATATACACCTTTATTTTACAATGGTGTATTTGTAATGTTAAGCACTGTGATTGCATGTGTGTATTTCTAATAAATCGTAAACTTAGTTCTTATCGTGACCTTCGTTGGTTTAATAAATTAAAATTGTTTTACTCAGTTGAATTTGTCATATTTTGATCAGGCAGGCATTGAACACCAAAACAGGAAAGGATTCAGTATTTAGTAATTTAAATATATAATACTTAAAAATAATGTTTCCTCCTCCTTTTAGCTATTTGGGAGTGTAATTTAAATATATAATACTTAAAAATCATGTTTTAGCTATTTGGGAGTATTTTGTTTTTTTTTACTTTTTAGTCAGGACAGTTTAAATACCTTACAGTATCAGTCCTAAATGACCCTTAAAGATATCATCATGTGTGTCTTTACAGCTTGCTGCCCTAGACTTAAACTCTGCTGACGGACAAGGCGGGGGGACTGGCAGTAAGTAAAGATTTTGGACATAATATTGTGTTGTATAATATATGTTCCCGTTGTGTTTTGTGCTTTGTTTTTAAGCTCTTAAATGTGCCTTGCTTTATTTGTGGAAATTGTTCATTTGTACAACTTTATTACAGATAAAATGTGGATAGGTTCAGGGAATAAAAAAAAAATCATATAATATTCTAATGAGGGGTTTAAAATTAAACCAAACCCAAACAAAATCAATTCAATGATTTTACTCAGTTGAATGTACTGTATCATATAGCATTAAATGCATTCTTCCTCTGTTGTTGTCAGTCAGTTCTTCAGGCCTTTTTGACCAGCTTGATTTATCAATTTATGACTGCATGTCTTGTTTGTATTTGGTGTAGATGTAAGATGTAAGTCAGATAAAGCTTGAACTTTACATTTAAACATTTACATCTAACACTACGTTGAGTAACTCATTGTGGGAATTTTTTTTCTTTCTCTTTTTAGGGCGTTACATTCCACCTCATCTGAGGAACAAAGATGTTTCCAAAAATGGTGAGTTAATGCAAAAGGCAAAAATGTTAGGTTGTTTTTATGTCCTTATAAGTCAGAGCATTGACACAATAATTTGCATTCTGACAAAAACAAATTCAAATTGCAATTGGTCACTTTACATTATCTTCATCCGCTATGACATTGGTTAGTTTCACACTTCAGATTAATTATTTGGAATTTAGAGTTTTGCCTCCCCACAAAATTGATACAGGCCACATGAACAAATCTGCAAGGTAGGATAGTGGATCTTAAATAGATTAATCATCATTCTGTTGAGGCCAGTTTTCCATCCTCTATTTCATCATCTCCACTGGGTAATCATCATTCTGTTGAGGCCAGTTTTTCCATCATCTCCACTGGGAATATGTTTTTTAATGTTAACTGCTCTGATAAAAGGCAACAGACCCATTTTTTCCCTGCTACTACCTCCTAAAGACATAATGTTGCTGGAAATCTCAGTCTAACATTTAATGTAAAGAAGGCTTAAATAAAACGTAATGGGTCTTGTGTCACTGCACACTTGACGTTTTTTTTTTTTTTTTCTCGTTTCACTGTTTTCTCATTTCACAGCAGGAAATGCTTATTCCGCTGGTAGACAGTGCGGTTATTCAGTGGCACCAGTAAATCTCTGTAAGTCCCTTCTGTCTGCTTTCGCTGAGGGCAACCTGCATTTACAGATGCATGAAATAAGCCAATTTACACAGCAGCAAAAGCCAGTTTGAAGACGGGGGGAGTGGGTTCTAATAAAAATCAGACCCTTGCAAATACATTGCTAACAATTATTGATGTGCTCTCTGCTGTTATGCTTGCAGTCACAATGAAAATGTTTGGGGTTTTTTTCGATGTAAGGAACCATTGCTTTATGATATATATATCACACACATATATACTGCAATAGAATTGTAGCCCATAATCCACCTGCATTGTTCCTCAAGTTTCTTCCAAGCAGTTCCCACAAACATGGCAGCAAGAGTGTCAGCAAAGACACCGAAATACCTCTGCTTCAGGATGGGAAGACTGTAAGATGGGTAACTATTAGAGTTCAGCCCAGCACTCTTATGAGTCTCATTATGAGTGAGTCGTCTTATAGCCTGCTTCCCTACTTGTTTGCGTAGGTTATCCAAGAATGGCGTCCCAAGAGCTTGCCTTTTACCACGCCTACGACAGTGGGGGCTGGCGGTCCAGATGCGGTATACTCTTAAAATCTACCTGCATGCCACGCAGTGTCCTGGCTGCGGCGTGTTCCGACCAAAACTACTTAGCGGGCACCGGGGGCGTAGGCAGCGTGTTCGTCCCCTATGTGTCACAGTCACTTTTCTTTTATACAAACAAGCAACAGAAGTCTGGGCCTAACCCTTATTTGGCAAAGCTTTACAGAGAGTGTCTTTGCTTGTGATGCATGGCAGTGATGCCTTTAAGAGAGACTGTACTGCATCACATTTGACTAATACAAAGACCAGGGAATTGAGCTGTGAACTTAAAAGATACCGTATACTTTTTTTTTTTTTTTTAGAAAGATGGAGACACAATCTAAAATATAAAATTATTGGATGCAATTACCTATAAAGGGTTGGTTCAGGACACCATTAACCTGTCCACACATTGTGTGGGATTGCATTAACGATACCATTGGGTATTGTACAGAAGGTCTCAAGACATCTAATATAACTTTGAGAACATTCCAGATTCACAGCTTAAGGAGAGTCTTGTAGAAGTGTGTTGTGTTTTGCTGGGAGCTGTGAAGGCGATTTGCTGATCTTTAGAGTACATCACTTTTAGAGGTTCAGTTTCCTCTTCCTGTAGTCCGCGTTGGGTCCCGTGAATCCACATCTTGTCACTATTTTAAGATAATCACACAAAAAAAAGCACTGAATGTTGCTTCTTTATGTTCAAAATGAGTTGCCTTAGATCAGTATTGTTTGTGCTGAATTGCATTTTGAAGCATACAGACAACATAAATGTGCCTGTGTGGAATGGAACAGGGATTTTTTTTTTCTCATCTAATGAATGAATGAAATAACTGTTGGTTGGCAGTTGAAGCTACAGAATCCTCGCTGCACATGTAGTCGGATCCTCTGAGCCATGTGTTTAATCATAACTAATCTGAGCCGAGATTTGTGTGGCCAGCATGCTGCTTGATGCTGTAGTAGCCTCGGCAACTGAGTAAATCCTACCAGCCTCAGAAGTAATGTCCTTTACACCAACTTCCCTCCCCCCACCAGCCTCAACCTGCACTGATAACAGTGTGGCCAGCGATGGGAATGATGACACAGCCAGTGTCCACAGCTGGGCTGATCGATGTGGTAAATGTTCCACACAGGGCTGGAATGCGGCTCAGTACAGCACAGACAGTGCAATTGTTTCTGCCTGCGTTCTCTTCTTTTTGTCCTGTATGGTTTCATACAGACATTTAAGGTTTTTACGGTTTTTTTTTTTTTTGCGTTTAGATGTTGACAGCAGTCAATTTTTTTTTACTACTCAATTTTTTTTTTCACTTCCACTCAGACCACCCAGACCTTCAGCTGTTCAAAACACAGCTGCAAGAACAATTTTAGTTGCAGGCGTTCATTTAGTCGGCTAAATGTTTACATGCAAAATGTAAGTTTCATAGCTGAACAATTTGAGGTTACAAAATCTTTTCCCTTTTGATGTCTGATCTCAGGCTAAGTGACAACCTACTGTAGTCTGCTGCCACTGTGTCAGCTCCTTGTACCGCTGTGATTGTGAGGGAAAATTTTAAAATGGAGAACTTTCTAAATAACAATTGTTTTGGCAGTTAAAAAAAAAAAAAAAAAAAAAGCTTATAGTCAAGACGTTTTTCTCTAACCTGACCAGAGAATCAGTTTGTCAACAGGTCAGCACTTGTAAAAGTATCTCCACCCATTTTTGCAGGTGTGAAGTGACTTAACAGCTGCACATTCTCACAGACCTTTACGCTTCTCTGTTTTCCTTATTTCACCTGAAGACTCTCCTGGGTGGGACGCAGGGCGCTCTAATGGATTTGTGAATGGTTACCATGACAATCGCACAAATGGTGGCTTTGGAGGTCGCGGACCTACCCGCAATGACAGAGGTGGGCGTGGCTCCTACCGTGGTAACAGGGGTGGAGGTTCTTTTAATCCACCTTTACAGAACGCAGGTGGGCAAAGTTTTAGAACTTTTGCTTTTATTTAAACCTCTTAACCAATCCCAGCGGATTATACCCCTCCTCTACAGGCCTATCCTGTATTGGTACCATATTATGGTATGACACTATGTCAATATTTACCGACGGCTTTTTTTTTATTTTATCACAATTGATGTATAGGCTTAACAAAAAAAGATCGTAAATGTGTACCTATATACAGGCTTCGGGGTTTATGAAAACAAAGTTAGTAACTGGGGAGGGCAGCAGCAGCAGCAGCGTGACCCTGCCTACAACAGCTTTGGAGGACGGAACGATCGGACCAAAACCGCCTTCTTCAATGACCGTGGGGCAAGCTCCAGGGGCAGGTGAGAGAAATGAGTACAGCAAATAAACGTATGGATCAGTTGCCCCAGAGACTGAAGGTTGCCAGACGTTTTAAAAAGTTTTATTAAATCACACCACTTAAGTTCTCTTTTACATGTTTGTCAGATATGAGCGTGGAGGTTTTTCTAGTGGAGGAAACAGCCGCTGGGTGGAAGAGGCCAGAGAAGATGATTGGTCTAAACCCACTCCTGCTAATGAGCGCCAGGAACGGTAGAAACATTTTTTTTTTTTTTTCCCCCACACTCTAGATTGCATTCTGATTTGAATTGTAACATTTGACAAAACTAACTTATTTGTGTTCTACAGCGAACTTTTCTCAGGAAGCAACACAGGGATAAACTTTGAGAAATATGATGATATTCCTGTTGAAGCAACCGGAAACAACTGCCCACCCCATATTGAAAGTGTAGGTTTGCATGTAACGTGATGATGGTTGAATTAATAGATGGTACAGATATGATCATTGATTGTTGTGTATTTTTTTAACTGTTCTGATTGAATTGTTTTTGTGTGTTTTTTTTTTTTTTTTTTTTTATTCAAGTTCCATGATGTGGACATGGGGGAGATTATTATGGGCAACATCAATCTGACTCGTTACACTCGTCCTACTCCTGTCCAGAAATATGCCATCCCCATCATCAAAGCTAAAAGAGATCTCATGGCCTGTGCCCAGACTGGTTAGATTTAAGCCTTTTTTTATATCCTTCCTATCCGCAATCTACCTGATAAACATGAAGTAAAATAAAAGCTTTGTTTTTTTTTGTTTTTTTCTTATGTTTGTTTCAGGCTCTGGTAAAACAGCTGCTTTTCTTCTGCCTGTACTCAGTCAGATTTACACTGAGGGACCAGGTGATGCTTTGCAGGCTGCCAAGAGCAGTGGACAGGTAAGTGGAGACAGACAGCCAAAGGTTATTGCGAAGTAGAAGTCAAGGGATGGTCACCCTAAAACCTAGCAGCTCACTGAACATCTAAGCTTGCAACCCTCTCAAAATGAGAGAAAAGAAGGAGAGTGGTGGCATAGGACCAGTCTGAAATTGGATGTGCTACAATTTGGGTTCTTCCCTAGTGAAATCTGTTGGAGAGGTTGATTTTAAAAAAAAAAAAAAAAAAAAAAAAAAAAAGCCATGGTTGAAAAAAGCTCAAATACTGTGACCACAGCCAAAGGTGCATCTATTAAATATTGACTGTAAGGGTATAAATATTTGTGCAATCATTTATATTATTCATTGGTTATGATTCATGTATTAGCATTTACATTATACATTTTAAGTTGGAATACAGTGATCCCTCTCCTATCACAGTAGTTGCATTTCTAGACCCACCACAAAATAGGAAAAAAATTGTGAAGTAGAGGCAAGATATTTAATTATTATTTACATATATATTTACCTTTTACGAACCTCCCCCACACTGTTATGAACCCTCTCTAGACTGTTAGTGTTGTTGTATAATGGCAACGCAGAGCAAAGTGAACGAGAGAGCGGCCGGCAGATATGGGGAAATGCTACAATGCATTATATAACTTTTTTTTTTTTTTGTCTTCAGGAAAATGGAAGGTATGGCCGCAGAAAGCAGTATCCCATCTCCCTTGTCCTGGCTCCAACTAGAGAGCTGGCTCTGCAGATCTATGATGAAGCCAGAAAGGTGAGCTCCATTTTTAGGTTTCACAATCAGTAAGAAAAAGAAAAAAAACGATCTCCAGCTTCTTAAATATTTAATATGATTATGTATCTTGACATGTCTTTCTGCCCGTTTTCTAGTTTGCCTACCGATCACACGTGCGTCCCTGTGTGGTTTATGGTGGAGCTGACATTGGTCAGCAAATCAGAGACTTGGAAAGAGGCTGCCACGTGCTGGTGGCCACGCCTGGGCGTCTGGTAGACATGATGGAGAGGGGAAAGATTGGTCTGGACTATTGCAAGTCAGTATCTCCTTAAACACGAAACCTTAGTAAGAGACGGTGATTTTGAAATGTGGCTTTAATTTTTTTTTCTTTTTATCTAATTTTTGTTTTTGTTTTTAAAGTTATCTGGTCCTAGATGAGGCTGACCGCATGTTGGACATGGGTTTTGAACCTCAGATCAGACGCATTGTGGAACAGGACACAATGCCCCCTAAAGGCATGCGTCAGACTATGATGTTCAGTGCCACCTTTCCCAAGGAGATCCAGGTTTGTAAGCTGGAAACCAGCATTGAAACGGCGATGAATTATAATGGTATAAACTTGTCTTTTATTTCTCCGGACCAGATCCTGGCTCGAGATTTCCTGGAGGACTACATTTTTCTGGCTGTGGGCCGTGTTGGATCTACCTCAGAAAATATCACACAGAAGGTGGTTTGGGTGGAAGAACTGGACAAGCGCTCCTTCCTCCTTGACTTGCTCAATGCTACAGGTGAGTAACATTGTACAAAGACAAAAGGTAACATTTCTCGTTTTCCATTGTGTAGTTGAGCCTTGAAAAATCCTGTTTGTCAGTCTGTTAGCTTTCATTTTGTAAAAAACAAAACCTGTGATGACTTTGCATATTTAAACTTTTTTTTTTTCCCCCACACTGTTTTTTTTTTTTTTTTCTCTCTCTTCTCGCTGATGGTTAATTTTTAAATTGGTGACAATGTGGAGGGTAAAAAATAAGGGGAATGATGATGTGACGTGTCTGTGACTGAGCAGCCTGATATTTATGGCTGGTCTGGTTTTATCTTAGTAATTCCCAGTGAGGTTCAGGAAGCTGTGACTGAGTCCACAGAAAAAGTTGGTAAGTGTCAACCTGCCGCCATGTCACGATGGCCCAAAAGCCTGAAAATCATTACATCCCCACCACAGCCCATCCTGCCCCTCTGCTCCTCCGCTTGCCTCTGTATTATTATTTTTTTTTTAATGTTTTAATCTCATTTGTTGTGCAGCACGGGGAAGTTGGTAGAGTAGAATATAGTTGGTTTTCTGATGAGGAAAGACTTGTTGGTTAGGTTGAGGTTTTGTTTTGTTTTTTTTTTTGGCATCATAATAGACTGTTAGCTTGTTTTTTTTTAACAGACAGCAACTTCCCTTTGGCATCATAATAGACTGTTAGCTCAAACCGTTTATTTCATTGGTAAAATACAGGGGGGAGGGGGGTATTTAAAATGGGGAGGATGGAGCTTTGAGGGATGTTTGCTGGACTTACCACAAATGAACAGGAATGTTTAGGTATAACATTTTCTAGTTTAGTGTTGGAGATTTGAGTCAATAAAAAAAAATAAATAAATAAACTGAAGCTCTATATGGGGAAAGGAGTGGTAAAGTACTGAGGTTTTTTATGCAGCCCTTTCATTTTTAAGTTGTCATTTGTCCTGAACCTGGCATTTCTGTCCTGCATCAGTGAGTTCTCACCTGGGGCTGGGCAATATGTTTTTACAGCAGTTTTAATGGACTGTTATGGTCCTATGTTTTAGTAACAATATTGAGGGAGTGACAGTGGTATGTTTACTGAGCTTACTATTTAAAAACAAAAGATACAGTTTTTGAATTTATATTTTGCACGAGTGTAATTTGAAGGCCCCTATTTGTGTATTTGTATCAGGAAAGTCACCTGGTCTGATAGAAACTGCTAAATAAATGTGCCGACTACCGCTGTGGCCACCACCAGATTTAAAATTAGATAACAAACCTCTGTTCCATTATGGTGTTTTTATGGTCAAAATAAGCTTCCACGACTCAAATGTTGCCCAGCCCTGCCCCCCATCTCCTGTCTGGTTACAATATCAGTATCTGTCCTGGTGTGTTTATTTTCTGTGAGTCTCTGTTCAGCCTACCTATAATCTCTGTGAATCCTTGTTTTTTTTTCCCCTGTCCCTTAGGTAAAGACTCCCTGACTCTGGTGTTTGTGGAAACTAAGAAAGGAGCCGATTCTCTGGAGGACTTCCTGTACCGCGAAGGCTACGCCTGCACTAGTATCCATGGTGACCGCTCCCAGAGAGACAGAGAGGAGGCGCTGCATCAGTTCCGTTGTGGTCAATGCCCCATCTTAGTAGCTACAGCTGTGAGTCACCGTTATTACTAAACAAATTCACATACCTGTCACATATCTCTGAAGTGAAAGTTCTAATTTTCCGGGCCGAAGTTTCCCATCTTAGTAGCTACAGCTGTGAGTCGCCGTTATTACTAAACAAATTCACATACTTGTCACATATCTCTGAAAGTGAAAGTTGTAATTTTCCGGGCCGAAGTTGGATAGGATATAAAGCTTTTTAATGAACTTCCATACAAATTGGAAATTAAAAAAAAAAAAAAATCTCTCTCCTTCCAGGTGGCTGCAAGAGGTCTTGACATTTGCAACGTGAAGCACGTAATTAACTTTGACTTGCCCAGTGACATTGAGGAGTACGTTCACCGTATCGGCCGTACGGGACGTGTGGGCAATTTGGGTAAGACAGTCGATGATCTTTGCTTTTTGTTTTTTTTTTTTGTTTGTTTTTTAGTTTTTAAGATTAAAGGTCAGAAGACAGAAATTAACTTGTTGATTCAATTGCGCAGGTTTGGCCACGTCGTTCTTTAACGACAAAAACAGCAACATAACCAAAGACTTGCTGGACATCCTAGTGGAGGCCAAGCAGGAAGTTCCCTCCTGGCTGGAGAGCCTTGCCTACGAACACCAGCACAAGACCACCACCCGCGGACGCTCCAAGAGGTGATTTTTTTTTTTTTTTTTTTTC